CCGCCCCAAACCGGCACCAAGTCCTGCACCTTCTCCCCAAACCCCTTGTCTGGTCGCAGATGATCTCCTCTTCCCCAAACTGGCACTGGGGTTGGTGCCCCCACCCCCAAACCGGTGCCAGTTCCAGATCCCTCGCCCCAAACTGGCACCCAGTCCTGACCCCCCACCCAGGACCAGCACAGGCTCAGAGACCCTCCCCAGGGCTCAGAACATCCCCTGCCCCACACCGGCGCTGGGGCCAGGACCCCTACCACGAACTGGCAGGGGGCAGGGACCCGACATGGCCGTGCCAGCCTTCATGGGACCCAGGGCCTCTCCCCAAACTGGCCTTGGGTCAGGGACCACCCTGAATCCTGAACCTGTCAGAGACACTCCCCACTCCCTGCCAAATGGCAGGTGGTCAGGGACCACCCCTCCCAATCCCTGCTCAGCCCAAAGTCAAGGACATCCCTGTCCTGTCCCCAGCCCAGCACCGGGGCAGCGATACCCCCTTCCCCAAGATATTGCCCTGCCATGGGCCCTCTGCCCCCCTGGACAAGATCAGCAGCAGGCCAGTGGCCTCCTGGATCAGGCCGATGTTGTTCCCAAAACTGGGACTCACCGGCAATGGGGCACACCTTTCCCCAAGGCAGGACTGAACTGGGGTCCTCTCCCAAGCCTCAGAGGCCCCTCAAGGCTGGGTGGGACCAGACCGTGAAGTGGCAGTGCCCTGCCACCCTCTCCTGAGCTGGGGCTGGGTCAGGGTCCCGTCTTCCCCCAGCCTGGGGAAAACGGTGGCGGTAACCACCATCTCCTCTCCAAACCGAGAGTAAACCACAACAAGGTGCCTGTGGATCCTGTTACCAAACCACGGGGCCAAACTGTACCTAGGTCAGTTGCATCCACTCCCACCCAGACAGGCTTGTTTTCTCCTTCCTGATCCCAGAGCTTTCCCTTTAGGTTAGACTGATCCCAAGGAATTAGCGTGGGATCGGTGCCAACCCTGAAGTGGCTCCAGACAGAAGCTGGCTGCCTTCATGGCGCACAGCCACCTAAGGGCTGCCCCCAGACAGCCTCTGCCCCCTGCCCTCCTCCCTCTGGGAAGCAAACAGGGGCTGATCCCCCCAGCCCTGTGCTGCGGGAGTAACCAGCCCTGGGCTGCACTCCCAGCTCCAGAAAGGGAAGCCTGGACCCCATTTTCCCTCACGGAGGCTGTCCCACCCTTTCCTGCCTCTTTTCTGCATCTTTGGGGACCTCCTGGCCTGGGACTAAACCTGCCGAGGGGAAGAGAGAGCAAAGTGTGCTGCGCTGAACCATGCAGTCTGGGCTGGGGTCCCAGATCCAAGGCCATCTCCGAGCAATAGGAAGATGGTGTGGTGCAAAATGTTCCGTCTTTTCCCCCTTTCTGCCCAGGGAGGCCCTTGGAGAAGATGCAGAGCCGAAGGTGGCTGAGGAGGAGGAAGAGCAGAGAAGGAGCCATAAGCAAATGGAGGAGAGCAGGCAGGTGCGGCAGTAGGACAGGAAGGTCCTCTCGGGTCCCTGACCTCTAGACATTTGGCTTTACCCTCCTTTTAGCTTTGTGCAGTGCTTAGTGTCACACAGCAGCGTTTATGTGAGAAGAAGCAGGGACAGAAACTCCTCAGGACTGGCTGGGGGGTGATTCTTGGGCTGGATCCTGGGGATATGATGTCCCTGTGACAAACAGCCCATGGATTGGAAGGATCTGGGACTGACACCGTGTATCCAAACCCCAACCCAGTCCCCTAGCCCCATCCGCACACGCAGGGGAAGCAAAACAAGAAGGTGCTCTGAGCACGTTCCTCTTGGTGCTGATGGCCTGCAGGGCTTTCCAGGAGAGGGAGGACCCACGGGTTCATTGCGGTCCTTGCAGCGCTCATCAAACCCTGCCATAGCATGGGAAGACGGGGCTTATGGGTCCACGTAGGCACCTCAGCATGGGGATAGGAGCCAGACCCTGGACAGGCATAGCGAGAGTTGCTCCAGTATCCCTTCCTCCAGAGCTCGGGTCTCCGGGTGCGAGACGTGTACCACCTACTTCACAGAGGCTGGCCAAGCTGCTCTTTGATGGCGCGCAGTTGGTGACAAATATCCAGGTGGCTGCTGACTTGAGGGAAACACAGAGGAGGGCAGAGGAGGCAGAGCTGAAGCTGCAGAGGTAAGAGACTGCGCGGTGGGTCTGTGCTGCTGGGAAGGAGCAGTGCAGATGTTGGTGCAGCTTTTGGGGGGACATCCTAACCCTGGCCATCCAGGAACGCTTAGAGGTTAGGGCAACACTGAATTTATGTTCAAAAGGAAAATTTAGGCACACAAAGAGCCTCCAGGTCCCACCTGCCACAGCTGGATCTTTACAGAGCTCTGCAGGTCAAGGCCGGTGGCTTCCCCAGGTGGCACTGCGGTACTACGGACTGCCTGGTTACCGATCTCCTCCTACAGGCTCTCTGGTTACCAGTCTCCTCCAGACCCATCACATCTTCAGCTCCAGAGTGTGAGAAACACAGCTGGTTCTCAGCTTTTCACCAGGAGTCTGTACCACGTATACTTGTGGTCTCCTTGCTTGAGAAGCACAGGCGCAGCTGCCCTTGCTTCTGGCTTGCCGAGCAGCTCTCCTGAGCCTGGAGGTGACACCGTGGTGGAGAACGTGCCACCCTGTGCTAAGAGGTGGCTCAGTAAATGGCCTGTTTCCAGAGGTTGCCCTCCGGTCGTGGAGATAGGGGTAGTTATTAGCCACACCATGGGAATGCGCTGGGACAGCTACATCAGGCTGTGTGTGAGGAGTGGGAAGAAGGTGAGGCTGTGCTAATTTGAGAAATTGGATATTAAGGTCTTTGAGGTGAGAGTGGTCAGATGCTGGGTCAGGGGCCCCTGATGTTGTAGAGATCTTCCTCCTTGGAGATACTCAGCACATGCCTGGACAAGGCCCTGCACAACCTGCTCTGACATTGAAGTTAATCCTGCTGTGACCGGGAGCCAGTGATTTCCCGAAGCCCTTCCAGCCTCGATTATTCTCTGATCCTCTCTGTGTGCCTTCCTGGGCAAACCCGTCCTGCTTCACCAGAGGAGCTGGGCAGTCTCCAAGGGACTGGCTCTTTCAGCCCTGTCCCCAGGACTCGGAGATCAGCTAGGAAACGCTGAGTCCTTGCTCCTACTGCCTTTGGAGGGCACTGTAGGAACATTTTATGGGAAGCTGGCTGTAGCAAGACCCGTGTCCCTTGCTCAGCTGGTTTCCCAGTGGGAATCTCATTAAGGAACCAGGTGCTGTGTCCAGGAACTGCCCGTAGAGCCGGTTTGGGGGTGGCAACGGTGGTGGCCGCTGTTCAGCCTGAGCCAAGGGCCATCCCCAGAGCACGTTGGATGGTGCCTCTGTTTGGAAGAGGAAAGAGTTTCGTAGTATGGACGTGGGCTGTTCAGTGCTGTTTGGCTTTAGCTGGAGTGTGGTCTCCGGACAGTTTGACTCCCAAGTCTAGATGTAGCCAGGAGGCTGTTTGGCACTGCTTGTCCATCACCTCTTGCCCAGAGACAGCTTGCTTGGCAGAAGGACTCGTGCCCCTTGCAAAGGTGACTGCTGCTTGAGCTGAGCTCTTTAGTCTTTCCTCCTCCAGGTAAGCGGTTGTTAGAGCACTGGGCAAGGGCGGAACTGGGGAAATGCCTGTCTGAAGAGAAGGGCCTGCAGGATGCCAGCTCTGCCCTTGTGTGACGCTCTAACAAGCACTTGCAAGAAAGCTGCTGCTCCACTGATATCTTGATGCCACTTGGAATGCAAAGTGGGTTATGCAGGAAAGTGCTCCTGCAGCGTGGGCCACTGAACCACGTCTGAAGCACGTGCTGCCCTGCCCCAGCTCCGCGTTTGCCGTGTGCTCCTTACTGCCTGCAGGGTGGAGAAGCTGGAGAATGAAGCCAAGTCCAGCACGTACAAGTTTGAGGAGATCGCCTCCAAGTGGGCCTTGGCCAAGGAGATGACGATCCCGCAGGAGCTGTGGCAGCTGCTGAACCAACAGCAGCAGCAGTGTGCGCTGCTTCTGGAGGAGAAGAACAAGCTCATCGGTGACCTGCAGCAGGTAGCGTGGGGACCAGGCAGGGACAACCAGGAAGGACGGGGGGGCTTCAAGCTCTGGAGGACGCTGTTCTAAAGCAACGGTCATCCTTGTCTGGCTCTTCAGTCATCCCTCTGTCTGGATCTTCAATTCACCAGTACGTTGCAGAGATCCATGTAGTGTCAGTTAGTCCGGGTCAAAACTGTGCCAGGAGCTGCAGTGCCGGTGTCCCAGTGTGGACGGTGAGATGGGGTGCCCTGGCACTGTTCAGTGTAAAAGGACAGACACGCAGGGCACCGGTAGCAGTAAGACAAACTGGCAGGTCCCAGATTGCACAGTAAAAAAAAGGCAAATGAGCAGAGAGGGGGAGTGTTTTTGTAGACGGAAGAAAGCCTTCCCCACAGCAGGTTCCCTGGCCCCCAGAGAAGGAGTGGTGTGTCTGCAGGCATGTCACCTCCCACTCCATCTCACCTGGGCCTTTTGGCAGCGATGATCTGTCTCTCCTCCCATCTTCCCTCCTAACTACTTCTTGACTTTCTGGCTCTTTGCTCTGGCTCTTTGGAATCATCACCTCTTCTCCTTTGGAAAAGGCAGCATCTGGGTCTTACCCTCTCAGTTAGGCCCTGAGGATTCCTGGTCAAATACTTCTCTCTGATTTCAGCATCTGCTCTCCTCCTCCAGGAGCTGAAAAACAAAGACGAGCAATACGTGCAGGCCATTAAGAAGCAGTCGGACGATATCCACCTGCTTTTGGAGAGAATGGAGGAACAGATCAGGATCATGCTGAAAACTTACCGTCACAAACTCCTGCAGATTGAGGTAACCAGTTCACAGGGTGGCGGAAGAGTCCCATGAGAAAACCTGCAGCCACTTGCTTCTCCATATCTATGGCAAAAAGGCCTCAGGCTCGTTGCACTGGCTGGGTTGACTACTGTCCAGAGCAGCAGGGCTGACGTCTCGGTGAACGAGGCTGAAATCTGGCCAAGCAAGAGCACTGAATGGTGCTGAGTGCTGAGGGGCTGGTTTATACCACGCTGTGAACGACTGTGCTTCAGTGCAGAGCGACTCAGTAGCACGTGAAAGCTGTTGCTGTTTGACGGCTGATTATTCGTCTCTCTAAAAGCCAGAAGGGACCACTGTGGTTCTTTAGCCTTACCTTCTGCAGAGCACAAAGTCCCACCTCGCGGATCAAACCTGCATTTGGTGCTGAGTGAGGGCATCTCTCCCCATTTGATGTCTTGTTAGGTGGAACCGGGTGGCTGCCTGACCAAGCTCCGCTGCTAATCATCCAGCAACGATTTCCAGTTAACTCACAGAGCTACCCACCACCAAGAGCACCCCTCCCAGCTTTGGGTGGCTGATAGCAGCAGTCCCCGTGGGGTCCCAGTGTGAGGTCCCTGCCAGCGGGGTCCGGGTGTGGAGAGGGGAGATCAGGCCAGTGTGTGTTCGTCGGAGAGTGGCACCATTCCACAGCCAATCCTCTCCTGGAGGCTGCTGGCCTGGACTAGTGTAAGGCTGGTAATGAGAGGTGCCAACGTGATGGTGAAGGGCTCTGTCTCCTTCACAGAAAGCTTTTGAGCTCGAACGGCGAGAGCTGCTGGACAACAACAGGAAGAAGTGGGAGGAAGCCATCCAAGCCCACAATGCACAGGAGGTAGGGTCCGTGTGAAATTTAGAATCATAGAATCATAGAATCATTTAGGTTGGAAAAGACCCTTAAGATCATCGAGTCCAACCGTTAACCTAACACTGCCAAGTCCACCACTAAACCATGTCCCTACATGCCACGTCTACACATCTTTTAAACACGTCCAGGGATGGTGACTCCACCACTTCCCTGGGCAGCCTGTTCCAATGCCTGACAGCCCTTTCGGTGGAGAGATTTTTCCTAATATCCAACCTAAACCTCCCCTGGCGCAACTTGAGGCCGTTTCCTCTCGTCCTATCGCTTGTTCCTTGGGAGAAGAGACCGACCCCCACCTCGCTACAACCTCCTTTCAGGTAGTTGTAGAGAGCGATGAGGTCTCCCCTCAGCCTCCTTTTCTCCAGGCTAAACAAGCCCAGTTCCCTCAGCCGCTCCTCATCAGACTTGTGCTCTAGACCCTTCACCAGCTTCGTTGCTCTTCTCTGGACACACTCCAGCACCTCAGTGTCTTTCTTGTAGTGAGGGGCCAAAGGCTGCCAGGACCAGTGCTGCTCTCTCCATTGGGCTGCCTTGAAAGACACGTGTGCACAAAGACAGCTGGTTCCTCAGGAGTGTGGGGGGTAAAGGGGCCGTTTTTCAGCCTGCTCTGCAGGGGCATTATACATGTATGACCTTGCTTTGGGCTAGCCAAAGGAGCTGTGATCGCGGGAGGAAGCTGTCACCATTGATAGATGACGTTCTCCTTTTGCCCGTAGCTGGAATACCTGCATGCCCGTATGAGGAAGGTGGAAGAGTTTGAGAAACAGCTGAATCAGCTGCGGGTGGAGGATGAGGAGGAGTATAACAGCATGAAGATCCAGCTGGAGAACGATGTGCAGGTACAGAAAAGGCTGGCGTGTGCCATGTGGGGAGGCAGTGGAACAGATCTCCCTGGGCTTTTCTGTGTGTAGCTGGCTCTGTGGGGCAGCTAGACGGTATGAAAGCTGCAGCTGGTATCTGGTCATCTCAGCTCTTCAGCGTGCACAGTCCAGCCCCGTGTCAACAGGGTGATGGAGCTGCTGTTCTCTCCTCTCCATCGGTCCTACACCACAGTGTCCATCTGCCCTTGGCTCTCAGAGGTCTGTAGCACATGAACTGTAGCTCTAGGACGTGTGAAGCACCTGGGAAGGTCGAGGGGTTTGCTACTTCTTGGCATCATGATTGGTAGGAGGACCAAATAGTGTGAGCGTCCTGACACCAGATCATTTCAGATCAACTTGATTTCTTCCTTTGTCAGGGTCCTTGTCCTAGGAGGTGTGAGCTTTTTCCTCTGACATCTAGCCATAGACCCGTGATTTCTCTAATGCCCATGAAGTCCACTTGGTGTGAGAACTATCATGAGTTTGCCCTTACTCAGGTAGGAGGGCATGCAGTGGAAGAGCACAACCCTGGCACACCGCTGGCTGAACAGGCACCAGGAGCTCTCACTGCAGATCCAGACCTCGTAGCCGTGGCTTCCCCGAGATACAGATACCTTTTAATCCACTGCATCCTCTGCGAGCAGCGGTGTCAACAAAGCAGTGCATCTGTGAGTCTCTGCAATCCTGCTGGTCCCCTGGACGGCAGCCCCGGCGTTGCTCCTAAGGCTGTCAGGTTTGGCTTTGCCCAGCATCACTCAGCCTCCTCTGCTCAGCAGAGAGCCCTGCCGCCACCGCCACCTTCCCTGCTGGTTGTCGTGCGTTGCTTCCCGGGCTGCACGGTAGAAATGGGACACGTTGCGTCTGGACTTTAGGAAGGCTCATTGTTTGTCCCATGGGATGTCCTCCTAGGAAGCCCAGGGAAATACAGGCTAGGGCCGATGTCTAGAAGGTTTTGCACAACTTCAGGTGAAATATTACTGTTGCAAGGTCCCTGTCAGCCTGAAAGGGCACGTCCAGGGAGGGCAGTCCTGACTTTGCGGTTTGTTCGCCTTCGTATTGATAGCCTGGAAGGTGACACAGAGTGTGTAACGTTTGCAGATGGCTCTGAGCCACGTGGGGAGGGAGGCAGCAGCATGCTGGAGATCAGGGTTCACAGATGGCGATGTGGGGCTGTTGTAAAAATGCACCTGCTGCCTTTAGCTGTGCTTGTGGGAGGGTTTATATATAAGGCAGGGGAGGCAATTATGCCTCTCTACTTTATACCTACGTGTCGTTGTCCAGGTTTGGCAACATGCTTGGGAACAGGGGAGAGAGTCTAGAAGAGACCAAGTAGACAAATGACCCCTAAGAAAAGGTTGAAAGGCTGGGGCTGCTTAGACCAGGGAAGCGATTTCTGTAGGGAGGTGATAAGTCTAGAAATACGCACAATTCTGTATGATGGAGGAGGAGAATGGCTTCTTCTCTGTGTCCACTGTAGATGCAAGAGAAAATCATGGGGTTGAGCTTTGGTAGGGAAGATTTAAACTGGCATTCAGATTTAGGGTTGAAATTTCAAGCTAGGAAAGCCTAGAAATGGCAAGGGCTTGCTTGAAGGTTAGCTAGAGGGACTGTGCCCTTAGTTTGCTGCTCTTTGACGCAGGGTTTTAGGAACAGCTTAAATCAACTTCTGCTGGGGCTGATTTGGTGAAGTTGTTCTCCCTGTGGGGCAGAGGGATGAAGTAGATGTCCTCCTGGTTCCCTTTAGCACTGCAGTTGTGTAACTCTTTACAGCACAGACTTCACCCTTCCAGTTCAGGGAGAATAAGAAAAGAGGAGTTGGAAACACCTGTTTTCCTGGTTAACCTGTGATACCGTTGTCCTGAGGTATCTCTGAAGCAGGAGCTTAGCCAAGACCTAAAGATGAAGTCTGTGGTTTGGGGGTTGTTGAATACTCCCCCGTTTCACTAGACGGGGAATCAGCATTTTAAGTACGGGGTTTGGGCCGTGGCTTTCCTCCATCTGCTGTAAGGAGAAGGTCCCTTGGCCCTGCTGGGATTTACCTCCATCTTTTCTTCAGTCAAGCTTTGATCCTAGCCAGGTGGGACCGCTTCTGGGTGTCTTCCCAGGTTGTTTGTACACTCCCTGTCGTACGTAGGGCTACCCAGGAGAGATCTGAGCCAGCTAACCCGGGTACCAGTGTCTTCCCTGCTTCTAGCCTGCAGCTCGGGACTCTTTACCTGCCCCCAGAGATCCCCCTGGGCTGAGAGCAAGCCTTGAGCCCCTGACGGAGACCCCGCTGGGTCTCTCTGCTGCGTGCATTGCTGTGCACAACCGAGCCTGTAGCTGATAGCTGATGCTGGGGCCATGCAGCAGCTTAATTCCAGTCACTTCCTACGATGGAAGAAGTCAGAAGTCTCGTCCCCAGTAAAGCGCTATATTATGAGATTTTTCAGCATCAGATTTCTGCCTCCTCTTGCACATGGAAGACATTTATATACTAATGAATTAAACCATGCCAGGCCCAGACACTGCCTCTCGCCCATCCGTGCAGTCACGCTGCCTGCTCCTGGAGTTTCCATGCCGCTGTGTCCCCCTGAGCTCGCTTCCAAATGAGCTGTAGGGCTGGCAAGAGAGCAGCGGTCATCACTAGGGTGTGATAGCTCCCAGCCCAGAGCAGCAGCCCCAGGAGACTCGGGCAATCAGCCCGGGAAGCGGCTCTTCCTTT